CAGAGCAGGGAAATGGGAGCAAGAGGAAAAGCTCAAGAGCTTTGTGGGGGCTGCAAATGCTCAGGAGCACAGAGATCACCCAGAGTCCATCTGGAACCAGAAAAATCCATCTGGAACCAGAAAAATCCATCTGGAACCAGAAAATCCATCACCTTTCCAGCTCAGGAAATCCAGAAAAAAAAAATCCATCTGAATCCAGACAAAAAAAATCCATCTGGATCCAGAAAATCCATCTGGAACCAGGAAAAAAATCCATCTAGAACCAGAAAAAAAATTCTGTCTGGGTCCAGAAATCTACCTGGATTCTGAAAATCCATCTGGGTCCAGAAAAATCCATCTGGGTTCAGAAAAAACCATCTGGGTCCAGAAAAAAAAAAGGATCTGGGTCCAGAAAGAATCCATCTGGGTCCAGAAAAAAATCCATCTAGAACCAGAAAAAGAAATGCATCTGGGTCCAGAAATCTACCTGATGCTGAAAATCCATCTGGGTCCAGAAAAATCCATCTGGGTTCAGGAAAAAACCAACCTGGATCCTGAAATAATCAATCTGGGTCCAGAAAAATCCATCTGGAACCAGAAAAAATCCATCTGGGTCCAGAAAAAAATCCATCTAGAACCTGAAAAAAATTCCATCTGGGTCCATAAATCTACCTGGATGCAGAAAATCCACCTGGGTCCAGAAAAATCCATCTGGGTCTAGAAAAAAATGCATCTGGGTCCAGAAAAAAATGCATCTGGGTCCAGAAAAAAATGCATCTGGATGCAGAAAAATCCATCTGGAACCAGAAAAAACCCATCTGGGTCCAGAAAAAAATCCATCTAGAACCAGAAAAAGAAATTGCATCTGGGTCCAGAAATCTACCTGGATGCAGAAAATCCATCTGGGTCCAGAAAAATCTATCTGAGTTCAGAAAAAACCATCTGGGTCCAGAAAAAAAAAGGGATCTGGGTCCAGAAAGAATCCATCTGGGTCCAGAAAAATCCATCTGGAACCAGAAATAATCCATCTGGGTCCAGAAAAAAATCCATCTGGGCCCAGGAAAAAAAAAAAGGATCTGGGTCCAGAAAAATTTCATCAGGATGCAGAAAAATCCATCAGGAATGGCAGGAGGTGCAGGGCTGAGCTTCCCCCACATGCTGGCAAGGCCTGCAGGAGCCTCATCCACCTCCTTTNCTCCTCCCACATGCAAAAAAACCTAGAGCAAGGCTTCCCAGGCAGGCTTGGAAAAGACTGAGAGCAGAAAGAAATGAATATTTGAGAGCAGAAAGGAATCAATTTTGGCCTTGGGAACAGGAGCAGCCCTGACTTTGACAATCCTGGTGCTCATCCTGGTTTTCCCTGGCTCCAGCAAACGGGGTGAAATCTTATCAGAGCTATCAGTGACTGAAACCTCCAGCTCCAAATGCCTCCAAAAATAACTGCAGGGACACCATGCAGGCAGATTTCCACAGGAAAGGAGAACTGGCTCTGTCAAACACATTGCTCACACTCTCCCTGATGAGCAGCCAAAAGTGACAGAAGCAGCCCTGTGTTTCTCCCCCAGGATTTCTCCCAGTTTTGGTCATGATTAAAGTTGAACTGATACCAGAAAGTTGTCACTTAAATACTTGTAGAAATCTGTCACTGAAGGAAGTGGCCTGGACAAAGGAATGGTTGGATGGGGAGTTTCATTCCAGCAGTGAAACCAGACCTTTGTGGGAGAGAATTCCAAGTGCTTTTGGCATTAGGAAATACCCAACTGTGTCCCACAGATGCTTTCTGATCCACTTGCCAGGTTTAAATGGGATCTCAATCTCTGGCCAGATGTCTGTGCTGTGCCTGCACCCTCTGGCTCTCCCAAAAATCCACTCCTGAGTGTCCAAGCCTGGACAGGGATCAGAAATTCCCTGCAAACCTGCTGATTGTGGGGGAGAATTAAAGATTGAAACCTTCTGATATCATCATCTCAACCCCAAAAAGCAGCTTTGCATTGCTCCTGGAATGGGGATTTTTCACTGCAGGATTCCACTCTTGCTGGAATTAAAAGCAAGAAAATTCGGGCTGGTTTTGCCCAAATCTGTCTGAAAAAAAGAGATGTGGAAATACAAATACATTTATGCAGAATTATACACCCAGTAAAGTTTGCTTTACTTGGTGTGTAATTCAGCATAAATTTATTTACGCAGAATTATAAATTCTCTAAAGTTTCTTTCAAAGAAGATCTGAAGGAATTTTGATAAGAGCTGAGCTCATTCAAGCTGCAAATCCTCAATATCACCACACCCAGAGTCTCCTCTCCCTACCTGATTCCCTTTTCACCGATTTTTGGGGGGTTTTGAGTGGTTTTTGGTTGGAGGTATGATTTCTCCATTCTCCTTAAAGATTGAAGAAAAATATTTTGGGAAGGGAAAGTAGGAAACCATACTGGAGAAAAGGGGGAAAAAATGGATGGAATAACTGCAGGCTGAGAATTCCTTAAAAAACCAGATTATCATTTCCAAGAATTACAGACTAACACTAAGTAAACCTCAATACCCACAGCTTTTGGTTTCTCCAAAATAACTTCAGCAAATATCACAACTATTGTCATGAACAGAATTTTATGGTTTTTTTTTAAGTTAAATGCTTTTATTTTTATTCCAAACCAAACAAAGTTTGTTCCCATAGTATGACATGATCAAGTAGGAACTTGGGATTTTACACTCTCGTCAATAATGTATTTTTTATTTTAATCCCAAATCCATAAAGTTCCACCAGAAAATCAGAAGATTTCTTAAGGACATAAAAAAGATGGTTTAGAAAATGAATCAGCTTATTTGGTGCACTTAAAAGCACTAATTAATTATAAAAACTAAATTAAATTAAATAATGAAAAGGAGTAAACAGTTCATAGGACCAAAGGAAAAAGGAAATTTTTAACTGTCGTTCCTTCCTTGGATGTTGTTTTAAAACATCTCTGTCATCATTAACTTTTAAATTTTCAAGTTTCTCTTAATTTCTAGCACTGAACAGAATTTTCTCCTTTGAGGATGTTCCTTAGGGAACTCAGCTAAAATTGTTTAGCAGGATAATTCTCCCTGCATGAATTTCTACGAATTGTGTTTTTATCTGCTTGAAAAGACACAGAAATGGTTTTTTTTTTCTTCCTATCTTTGCCTAAAAATTCCTATTTATCACTAACTGCACCTCAAGCAATGAACACACACCAGGCACTGGGGAAAAGAAGGAAAAAACAGAGGTGGGAAAAGTGTGAAACTCACCTTGAGCATCACCAGGTAATCATCATGTCTCTGGATCTGAAGCAGATTAGCCAAAGCCATCACTCCAGCCTTGAAATCAGGATTATTCACTGGAAAAAAAGAAGGATTATTGGAAAAAAAAATAAGAATTATCATTAAAAAAAAAATGATAATTTATTTTGGTTTCACTGATTCCAGCAGGCAGAATTGTCTCCCTGACTCCATGGCATTGGATGGCTCTTCAGGATGGACAAGGGAAATTCCTCAGCACCCCTGAAGTGTTCAAAAAACAAGGGTGTGGCACCTGGGGACATTATTAATTATTTATTAATTACTTAGTGCTGAATGTGGCAGTGCTGGGTTCATTGCTGGGCTCTGTGATCTTAGAGGGCTTTTCCAACCTTAATTCCATAATTCCAAGCAGTGAGGAAACAATTTGGCTGCAGAGGAATCAGCACTGGGCAACACAGCCAGGTAAAGTGTTTGAAAATAAAGCAAATTATGGGCAGATATTCTCTTCTGTAAATTCTTTGTACATTTTTATTATTTTGTATCTTTTTATCCCTGCTGGTGAGGGCAGGATCAATCCCTGCCTTTTTTGGAGATGGAGGAATGGAAGAATATTTGGAAGATTTAGGATTGATTTTAGCAGCTTTTTCCTACAACTTCCATTTATTGTGATTGTGGCTAGCAAGGAAAAAAAAATAAAATTATGAAGACAGAACAGCTGGGGAAGACTGAGCCAAGATGAAATCCCTGACAGCATGGAAGTAACCAGCCTGCCACCATGTTTCCTTGGAAATTTTTACTTTTTAAGACATCCTGCTACTTCTCCCCTCACTTAAAATAAATAATTATGATTTACAGAGCAAAGCTGTTCATGTAAATGTTCAGATCTGCATTCCTAAAGCTTTAAAAAAATCCACAACATAGGATTAACCAGCTGAGGAAGAGCCAGGCCATCCCCACCCAGGAGCTTGGGGCACACTCACCATCCAGGTTAATCAGGGGCTCTGCATTTTTGGCTGTGTTGTCTGCATTTTTAGCACCATCAGGGGTGGAATCCTTGTATTTATCAGCTGCAAAATGAGGAGGCAAACAAAAAAAAAATCATCAGCATTGATGGCAAAAAGAAATAACTCCAAGTTTAGCGAGGAGCTGTGGTGTTACAGATGGATTTTTGGGGTGTGGTTGTTGCTTGTGGGATTATAAACTGAGATTTCTGCCTTTATAAACTGAGGTTTCTGGGTTTATAAACTGGGATTTTGGAGCTCCCCATTAATGATACCAAAAGCTGCCACTCCTGTGAGCTCCCAGCCTCAGAGCCTGCTCCAGACTTTCATTTAGGGCAGGATCCTCTTCATTACAGCCTCACCCCAGAAGGCTGAACAAGTGCTGGCACCCTGGGAATTGCTGAGAATTCCAGACTTTCTGTGCTGCCAGGCTCTGACCTCCAGGAGAACACTGCACTGACCTGAGGCTGTGGAGAAGCTTCCAGAATGGAATGACAGAGCTGGGATTGTGGGTGTGGGGTTCGGATAGAAGTGTGTGATATCACAGGGTGGGAAACTCAGAGTTTAAAGGTTTAGAATACAGAAGTATATACAAAGCAAGATGGAGGTTTTAGGGTGGAAGCTGCTCCTTCTTCTTCACCTTTTTCTCCATGGGTTTGGGTGGTTCTGTGTAATTGGATAAAAAAGTCCCCATTGCAGCCATGGGTGGTTGGTTATTGGGTTAAAAGTGAAAATAATTCAGGTGTCATTTCTTAACTGGACACCTAAATTAATTGGACACTTAATTCTTAAGTTTATCCTTAAAAGGCCTTGGAGAGAGAGAGCTGGGGCTCCATTTTAAGTTTGTTAGAGTGAAGTGCTGCAGAAGTCAGGGTTTGTGAGACTGGGAGAGAGATAAGAACTGATAAACATCTGAGTCCCCACAGGAAATATCATGGTGCCTTGTGCAGGCTGCCTTAGAGCAGAGGCTGGATGGAGCTCCAGAATAAAGCAGGGATTTATCCAAAGCATCTCCTCCATGGATCCACCTTGGGCAGAGGCTGGATGGAGTTCCAGAATAAAGCAGGGATTTATCCAAAGCATCTCCTCCATGGATCCACCTTGGGCAGCACCAGAGCCCAGCCAGGGCTGCACCCAAGATCAACCAAAATGGCCCCAAAATGCACGGCCGGGCACGGGCTCTGTCCCTGGGATCAGTTCTGCTCCATTTGCACCTTGCAGTTCATTGTCCCATCCCAGCTTTAGCCCAGGCAGTCCCACCCTGCTTGTTTTTCTCTCTCCAGCCCACGGGGTTTGTGCTCTGGGGCTGAGATTTGGGTCATTTGTCCTTGGTGCCCAGCTGGAGCAGGAATTGTTTTGTCTCCCTGCTCTGTGCACAGAGCTCAGAACTGCCCCTCATCAGAACCATCCCTGATATGGAGCCCAGACCCTCCCACTAAAGCAGCACAAAATCTGAAAAATACAAAAGCTAAAACCTGAGGCATCATTGTCCTGCAATTTAATCCTAACCCTGGCAAAAAAAGAAGCAAAAATTTAGCAAAAAAGCTGCATCTCCCAGATCTGCCCTTCTAAAATCCATCAGTTCCTCTGCCTTGAGCAGGGATCAAGAATTAAGAGAAGATTTTGGTCCTGATGAGTAAATAAAACATTTCCAGCTCAGGGTTTGTTTCACAGCCCACACTGAGGATTTCCAAGCCTTTGGAGGATGGAATCTCCTGAACTCCTCCTTTTTCACACAATCCCAAGGCCCAGTCAGCTCATTTTGCCCATCATGAGGGACTGAGGGTCACAGCACAGGTATTTGTATCCCATCCCTGCAGGAATTACAGGAAATGGAAAAGCAGCACTCTGGCTGTTGTTATTTTGCCATCAGTAATTACATTTGTATTCCCACTCCCTCCATAAGGAAATGGAACTGCTGTGACTTGGGGAAGATTTAACTCCACTTTTCCATAACTTTGTCCTAGTTCCCAAGGCTTCCACATCCACTCCTTGTTCAAAACAAAAAAAAGGGGGTCTAAGAATAACTTCTCTGAATAAATTCAGTACTAAATATAATGCACTTAATACCCTTCAGAGGAAGTTCTCATCAAGGCAATCCCACAGGGAGAAAAGGGGGTAAATATCTACAATGGGATTGGCTCTATCCAGAAATAAAATAAAATAAAACAAAATAAAATAAAATAAAATAAAGTAAAATAAAGTAAAATAAAATAAAATAAAATAAAATATGCAATTATGCTGCTCCAGTCCCATGGGAGCTGAAAAGAAACAGTTCCTCTGAGCAGGGGGTGCAAAAAAGCACACAAAATTGTGGTTTATTTTTTTAAGAAGTGAAATATCCTTTTGACACTGTCTGATTTTGATGAAATCAAAATTTCATCAAAATTTCAATCAAAATTTCAGGGGAAGGTGTCCCTGCCTGTGGAACCTGGTGTGCACAAGGGCACTGTGACATCACAGCCCATTTGGTGGCACTGTGGGGGTGCCAACTCCCGTCCCCAGGGTGCAGAGCTGCAGGTGCCACCCAGGGATGGCCTGAGCAGGACCCCAGAGGGATGGCCAGCCTGGAGGAGCTCCTGCTGGTGGCCTTTGGGTTCAGCTGCTTCTACCCCAGCAGCACATCCCGCTCGTGCCCGCCCTCCTGGGCCACCCTGGTGTGGGATGTGCCCCAGCTGGAGAAGGGCACTGCCCCCAAGGGCACCACCATGGCAGAGGTGCTTTGCTGGAGCATCCCAGCCCTGTGCCTGCTGCTCCTGCTGCTTTTCCTCAGCAGGACCTACTGGAGGAAGGTGAGGGAGGGCTGGTGCCACAGGCCAGGAGCCCATGGGGACAAGGCAAGGCCTTCCCAGAGTGTGCCCAGCCCCTGTGGAGAAAACCAGGACAGGCTCAACATT